AAAAAAAAAAAAAAAGCTTACCTTATATGGTGATTATGAGGTTTCGATGAACATACATCTTAAGGACCCAGAGTAGAGTCTAGCATACATGTCATAATGCCAGTTCTCTTCCCCTTCTGCTTCCCTGTCACTTACTACCTGTGTGACTGGACAAGTTGTACTTCCCTGAGCTTCGGTGATGAAATACCTCATCAAGCTGTAAGAATCACCCAAGCAATAATGTGTGATCAACTCCAGTACTCTATGGAATTCTCATTGTTCCCACTTCCCTGTGAACCCCTTTGTTGTTTGTAACTCTTCCCCAGACCACCTTAGAGACCCACAGACACTTAAAAGAGATCCTCTTCCTGGATCTCTTCCTTTCTTTCTTTTTTGGTGGAACTGGGGATTAAACTCAGGCTCTTGTGCTTGCCAGGGAAGCATTATTCCACTGAGCTATCTCCCCAGCCCCAGGGTAAATGTTTCAAGCACCAGAAGGAAACTGTGGGCTTACTGTCTAAGTATGTGCCTGAGCATCTGGAGGCCAAGTCCAAAGCTAAGTTTGGGCAGAATCCAGGGGTCCTAGAAGTGGAGGACGGGGAAATTTCAGCCAGCCATTGAGCCTGTGGCTGGCCCTTGGCTTGGAGTGGGGGCTGCTGTGATCAGGGTGTGGACCAGAGGAGTGTCTGGGCGTGGGTGGGGCAATGGGGACCATGATAAGCAGCCATTAAGCTATCAGGGTGGAGGTCTAGTACCTTCTGCTTATCCTGAGAAGGCAGGGACACAGCAGGACCCAAGGACACTTTCCTGCCTAGGTCTGTCCTGCTATTCATCCTCTGCCTCCTTCGCCCCTTACAGGGAGTTGGCATGGTCTTGCCTCCCCCGCCCCCCGTTTTACAAGTCACAAGAGCCTCTGGCCTGTTTGGGGGACACCCTCTGGATCCTTGGCATGGCTTCCCATTCCAGCAGCTTTTGCTTCAGACCAGGAGCTCCGTGACTTTCTTGAGCTCAGCCTGTGCTTTTCTGTTGCTGAAGCGTAACTCTGAATCCTGCCACTACTGCTTTAGGACTTTTTCTCTTATTTAGATCACCTTGAGTAGAAATCCTAAAGCCATACTGTGGGCTAGGATGTAGCTCAGGGCTACAGTGCACGCTTAGCATATCCAAGCTCCTAGTTTAGGTCCCAGCACCAAAATCAAAACAAAAATATACTGAATGAGGAAGTTAAGAGTGGTTGCAGCCAGGAATGGTAGCACACATCTTGTCTACCAGCCCTCTGGAAGAATGAGGCAGGAGGATAGTTAAGTTGGAACCCAGTTTGGGCAACTTATGGACCTAATGAGACCCTGCCTCAAAATAAAAAAATTTAGCTGGACATGGTGACACATAACTATAATTCCAGCAATGGGGGAGGCTGAGGCAGAGGGATTGCTATAAATTTAAGGTCAGATGGGGATAAATAACAACTTC